GGAGAACGAGAGCAGCCTGCAGCCACAGGAGAAGGCATCTGTTGAGTCTTACCCTCGTAGAGGGTACTTTGCCTCAGCCCTTTCTGCTGTCCCTTGAACTGGGGCATCATAGGAAGGCCTTGACCCTTCAACAAGACTATCAGGCAAGGCTTGTAATGTGGAGAGTACAGTAGGGGGAAGTTATCACAGATGTGGTTAAAAACTAGTGTGCCATTTTTCCAGTGTTACCCAGGTGGTCTTGCATTTGATAAAGAGATCCCTTCTTGAATAAATCACCATATACATTTTACTTCGGGTGAAGACAACATGTTCAGTCTTCCTCCCTGCTGAGATAGCGAAAGAAAAAGGCACGTCTACTTATTGCAAATAGGGACCCATCTGTTTCTGTGGTCTCAGGGAAGACCCTCCTCTTTCAGCAGTTTTTCCTAATTTATTATGGCATAGTAGAGGACGTAGCGATATCTAAAATCAGTAGCTGTTATGAAATGGATAAGAAAAAAATCTGGGAGTCAAATGCAGGTGATTTCTGGAAGAATTATAATGAACTTATAAGTTAGTGTCATCTGCTTTTATCCTTTGTTGGTTAAAAACAAACAGCCTCACACACCTGTCTCCCACCTAGTTAGCACATCCTGCACAGCCAGCACTTTGGAGTGAGAGCACTTCTTCACATCTGGAATTGTCACTAGCGCTATTGGTGCTGTTCAGTTTAGATACACCGCCTAAACTCTGCAGGCTTATGAGGAAGTTCTTACACTGAAGAGGCTTGAAAGCTGAGCTTGGCATCTTTTCATCTGCCAGGTCCTGCTTTCCAGGTAGAGAAGATCTGCTCTGCTCCACTCCCTCCCTGAGGAGGCGAGCCGAGTGCTGTTGTATGCACAGAGGACTCACCAGGCGTTGCAGATGTGGCAGCACTTAACACAGGAGTCTAGATAGGCCTATCTAGACCTGTCAAGATGTGGTTAGCCCATGTTATGCTTAGACAGTTGTGTCTCTTATTGGCTTTTACTGTCATGCTGAAACATCAAAGTTGTTTTGTTGTAGTGGCTAATGCAAATTTAGAACAGCCCTGCATGTAAGATTACAACTGAAAAGGGACAGGACCTTCAAGGAGGGTTATTTAGCCACATGTCATATGATAGTTGTCAAAGCAATTATATCCTTCAGTAGTTTATCTCTTATCCTGATGTTTACGTTTTTGTCACACAAATAAGAATTGATGTGAAAAACCTGAGTCAGAGTGGCAAAATATGCACAGGCTTCAAGAGAAACAATGATCCCACATTGATAATGATGCATCTTCCGTTTTCGAGAGACATAAGCATCTCCCAGTCCTAATAACAACATAGGGTGGGACAGGGACTACCAATAGTCTGGACCCCCCAACATAAGAAGGACATGGAGCTGTTGGAGCAGGTCCAGAGGAGGGCCACAAAGGTGATGCAAGGGCTGGAGCACCTCTCCTGTGAAGCAAGGCTTGAGAGAGTTGGGGCTGTTCAGCCTGGAGAAGAGAAGGCTCCAGGGTGATCTTATAGCAGCCTTCCAGTACCTAAAAGGGGCCTACAAAAAAGCTGGAGAGGGACTTTCTACAAGGACATGGCGTGATAGGACAAGGGTAATGGCTTTAAACTGAAAGAGGGGAGATTTCAATGAGATCTAAGGAAGAAATTCTTCATTCTGAGGGTGGTGAGGCGCTGGAACAGGTTACCCAGAGAAGTTGTGGATGTCCCATCCCTGAAAGTGTTCAAAGCCAGGTTGGATGAAGCTTTGAGCAACCTGGTGTAGTGGAGGGTTTCCCTGCCCATGGCAGGGGGGTTGGAACTAGATGATCTTTAAGGTCCCTTCTAACCCTACATTCTACGAGTAGACCTGGAGAGTGAAGTGCAGACTAAGTGATTTGCCCAGGGCTAGGTTGGTTTCCTGACCAATTGCAACCATTGCATTTTTTCTCCAGCTCTATTTTTCAGTGGCTTGCACTGAGACATAGTGGGATATTTTGGTTTATGTTGTCAAAAGCTAAAGGTCAGGATAAACAAAAATTGCACAGACGTTTTGATGGTTGCTTCTGAGCCTCTTATCCCACCTTCTCCTTTTTGAGTTTGTCTGCTGTGTAATTAGCCATGCTCAGGTATTTTGGAAAGACATTTGCTGACCTGAAGCAATACATGTAAAGACATGGCATGTCTTGTTTTAAGCGTTTTTAAAACACAGCTCGCTTCTCCCCTCACCTCAGTCCTCTGCAGCCTTCTGCCGCGCTGCTTGCCCTTGCTGTCCCAGCACATGTGCAACCCAATTTGCTAATTGGTGAAATAGCTGGGAAAGACTTGGTAGGCATCTGCTCCCAGCACAACTCCAGGGAGGCCTGGTCATGCTGGACAGAGGGTCCCACATCCTGTGGCGTGCGGGAGCATCCACCCCTCCTTGGGGCTGGTGGCCATCACTGCCAACCCTGGTGAAGCCCTGGAAGGCTCTCCTTCACAGGTGAGGCGAAGGCCAGGCAGCAGAACAGATAAAGAAGATAAAAGCAGTGAAAAGTATAAGCACAAGAAAGAACACCTCAGCCCAGCAGTTACAGAAAAACAGCATGAACATGGGTATTTAAAAAAAAAAAGGTGAAACAGTGGTGTGGAAGGAGGCCATGCTTGTAGCAGCCTGAAGCCAGTGCTGAGGTCTTTGCAGCATCGCTTGTTGGGTGAGCTGTGTGGGTGCATCCCCTTGCCACTACAGAAATCCTGCCTGACCTTTTTATTTTCCTTTTATTTTTTTCTTTTTGTCATTGCATTTCCCACTGGAAGCAAGACTCGCGTTGTGAAAAGGGAGGAAAGAAGGTGAATAGGCAGAACTCATTAGTCCCATAATTAAAGTTAAAAGGTAAACCTGTGGTTTTACCACAGGTAACTGTAACCACAGATCTTTGCAATCACGGTTGGTTTTTAAGTGTCTAGAAAATATGATGGTAACTTTTCTGAAATTATGACCACAATATCTGTGTGGTCACCATTTAGTTGAAGTGTTTGCTCAGCATCCTCCGGTGTCTGCTTTAGAATCTGCCCTTTTGTAGTGTAAATTTTGTGAAGCAGAGAATGCATTTTTACAGGCATGTTTCTGTGGCTAGAAGTATACCAGATTTGTTGGCAGTATTAGAAAACCAAAATATCTTTTTCTTCATTTTTCTTCCTACTGCTCAGTGGCCAAAGTCAGTAGAAATCAGTCCAACATAGTGAAGCTGGGGGAGCCGGTTAGTGGGTCTGTGTAACCACTTTTGTTTCCTAGCTAGATCCATTTAAAAACAGTGGTTATTGTCCTCGGACAGCAAATAATCTATTTATTTACTTATACATTGGTGTTTGTTTCCTCTTTTTTGCAGGTACTTGAGAGGTTACAGCAAAGAGGTTTTGAGATTGTTGGCTCATGTGGAGGTGGGGTGGACTCTTCCCAATTCAGTGAATATGTACTGAGACGAGAACTCAGAAGGACATCTCGTGCACCCTCCGTCATTCGAATAAAGCAAGAACCTCTGGACTAAAATGGACATGTTTCTTTATGCAAAAAAAAAAAAAAGGCAAAGAGAGAGGGAGAACAAAAAAAAGGGGGAGACATTTCTTGTGCAGTTTGGACTTCAAACAAGTCCTGGAACTAAAATTGAATAAAAGACACATTTATATCAAATATAGAGACCACACCTGAATTCGTATGGGAACATTTGGAATAGTAGTAAGAATAATAACCTCAAGGTGTAAAAGAAAACACACACACACACATATATAAAAAATATGTATGTATATGTATGTTTGTACATATATATATGTATGTATACGTCAAAGGGTAGGAAATGCAACAACAAAAAAGTGGTAGATGAGGTTGGTGCTGTGACGGCCGTTAAGTGTCCTAGGCCTTGCTGGGGCCCACTTAATGGTGTACAAGCCATTACCATTGGGGGATGCGTAGACTACTCTTCACCCATTTTCCATCGCCAAACAGCCATTCACTTTTTATCGTGTGCACACCTTGGCTCAACTTGATTTGCGTATGGAGGTTTGTGTCTGTCTCTTTCAGAGGTGGATGGGCAGGTGCTCAGGAGATGACCATCCATTGCATCGGAAAGCTAGTCAACTGAAATTTTAAATGTAGTTTGTACAGAAGTCACACACTTGTTGTCTGCCTCACAGATGTGAAAGGTTAACTTTTCTTTTGAATGAGGTTTTTTTTTGTTGGTTTGGTTTTGTTTTGTTTTCAAGGGGGGCCAGAATAACTAATATTTGGTAGAGATGCTCTGGTTTGAATCTGCTGCTTTCCTACAATTTTTTCAAATTTTATAATGTATTAAATACAATAAACTCTGTTTAAAATACCGAGAGTCTGGTTTAAGCCGACAGAAGCAGAGAGGTGGGATTTAGCTCATTGCACTCCAGCGCATGGAGCGGAGGCCACTCCAGCAGACAGCGGGCGGGAGTGAGTTAAAGGCAGCAGATGTCGTTGCGGGATCTGTCTGGTGCGCCGCACGTTGCTGGTCTTCCTTCAGCGCTGTCTTTTTGAGCTTTGTCCTGGTTTGAAGAGTGGCTGTTGGTCAGGCTTAAAAATAGCACCAGCTCAGCCCAGGGAAACCTGTTGAAAAATGACACCTGGTTCTGTAACCTTCCATGTAACAGTGAATAGTTGCATCCTTCATCCTTCCCTCTTGACTACGGAGCTGGCAGCTGCGGCTCTCCAAGCCCTTGCCCTGCTGAGTGTTAGTCAGCCTGTTTGTTTTTAATGTTGTTCATTTCACTTATTTAAAGCTAGTGTTCTTCAGCCTAGAGAGTGAGATGGTCAGCCCCTCGTGTTACGCCACTGGCTGCGTTGCTCTTGATAGCAGGCGGTAAGTTGATGTCCTGCGAGTCGTTCTCTTGCAGAGTCTCACCACGGCCACCTCTGCAGCCACCTGGTTCGGGCCAGTAAGATTTTGCAAAGGTACCACATCACGATAACCACTGCACAGGACCGTTCATGGGTTGACACTTTCACCACCTAAGATGCACCAGCAACCACCACCTTTCCTCCGAAGTATCTTTTTATGCAATATTCCAGAATATGACTGTATATTCATCCTAGTATGGAAGTTTCTATCGACGCAATGATGCTGGCGTTCCATTCATTTTAGAGACACTTTGCTATTTATTTAAGAAAAGAAAAGAAAAAAAGAAATTGTTGAATACATGTAACAAGGTTTTTAATATAGTCTGATAACTCAAAAAATAAGCTACCATTTTTCTGGTTTTTATTAAAATATATCAGAAGGTGCACTTAAATAACTCTCTGGCAGCACATATCAATGGTTTTGAAATTATTGAAATATGGAAAGGGGGGAGGCAGGGGGGCTTGAAAAATTAAGGTTCATTAACAGGTTATTAGATCTTCAATGTGATGCTGATTTGTCTATTCACAGTACTGAAACAGCTGCCTCATTGAAAATGCTTGTTTTCAATTAGCAGCAAGTAGTCCTCTTACAAAATAAACAACTGCTTGCTCTGACTGCCCACAATTTGGTTGTTTGCATAGAAGTCAGAAAGCTAAAACCCTGGGAAATAAATATTTTTAACAGATTTTTCAAACCGTTGGCAGTGGTATGAAATTGGCGATGTTGAAAAAGATGCCAGCCCACATGGGTGGGGAGTACCTGGGTACCTGTGCAAGGCGACGTGATGTTTCAGAGACTGTTTGCTGCAGAAACCCTCCTTGTGCTTCCAAGTGGAGCCTCACTTTCTGGGCCCTTCACAGTGTACCCAGGGATATGTTTACCCTGTCTGTTAAACCCAAAGGTACTCTCACATCCAGACCTGCCCTACTAGCTGCTCTGTTTACATACAGGCACATGCTCTGGTGCAAGCTGCAGCCCCCCCCAGCTCCAGCCCGTTTCCCTGCTCCCTGGCAAGCAGGTACCCTGAGCCTCCCTGGCCAGGAGCATCAGCAGCCCCAAAATTGGCCCTGTAGCACCTGCGCCAGCTCTAGCAGTGCCCACGCTGCCCACAGCCTTTGCACAGGCTGGGTGTGGAGGGCGAGGAGTTTTGCCAGGGATGCTTTTCATTGTGTTGCTCCCAAAGCCAGCAGGATGTGTTCAGCCAGTTGTTTTGCTTGCTCAGTGTGTACTGTCTAACTTGACAACAGCGAGGATGCCTTTGTGCTCCTATCAAATCCCCAACTGGCCAGTCACCTTCCTAGTGAGCCTGCTTTCGTTGTTGACGGAGTCAAAAATCACTCTGAGACCCTGAATGTAAATGTCTTCTGCAGTTACGATGTGGTTGTGGAGTAAGAGGTCGTGAATAAACAAAGTGATGGCTGATGAAAAATGTATGCAGGAATAAGCTAGATGTAGATTTTTAGAGAGCAAATGAGATTAGTCCTGTTTGCAATTGAGGCTTGTAACCATGTGTTTTTAAAATGTTCTTTAGAAAAGCTGATCAACAGACAAATGAGCAATATATCCAGGAAGGCGGGAGTGGGGGGAACCAAGAAGGACCAGATTACAGTCAGCTCATTTCTGGAGGTTAGTCATTTTGTTGACATGTACAATAGTTTAAATTGATCTAATTTTTTATTAAAAAGTGTGATTCCATTTTATGCTATCAGTGGTGCTTGTATTTAATAACAAGAGGAAGAGCTGCTGTGGACATGCAGAGATTGCAGATGCCACCTAACACCCGTTCCCACGATGAGACACAGGCAGAGGAACTGAGTCTTCATCTTTTCTTTTGGTAACATGAATGCTGGATTTCTGCAGTAACCATCGATCCAGGGTTTAGTTCTTCCCCTATTGCTTCCTTAATGTACCAGACAGCTATATAATGTAATTAAGGTTCCTGGCACGCTTGGATGAACCATTAAGCTGTGAGTGTCCCGTTGAAGACTGAGTTAATTTACCCTGCACCAGAGAAAGTGAAGTCCCGTTTAGTCACTAGGTTTATCTCTCTCTCCAGGAGCCCTACTTGTAAATAGATGCTGCTAATTTGTTCTATCTTCTGGTACTTATTGGCCAGGTAGTCTGGCCAGGCAAACGTGTTTCCATTGCTATGTGTCTAGAAGAAAGCTGATCATTTCAGTGCTTGGCTGGCACAAGCAGGTATAGTTGAGGCATTGTTTTTTGATGCCCAATAGAATGTATAATGAAATCCAATGGGGAAAACCTACTACTCTCTGAAAACATGAAAGCTGAACCACTCAATTATTTTTCTTTACACTAAACAGGCACTGATTTCAATTTGAAGAGAAACGTCTTGTTCATGAGCGTAATTTTTTGCAGCAACCTTTAAAAATTGATTGCTATACTAATTACAGGGTTTTACTGTCATCCAAATTGTCAAGTGCATTTTTCTTTAATGTTCAAATTTTTGGGGACTTGAGGGAGGTAAGGGTTTGATTTTAGGGAGTGAGAGAAGAATTTTTATTGACCAATGGCCAGTTTTTCAGAGAAATAAAAACATTTATTTCCATCTGTCATTTCTTGACTGTGGAATTCTATATTATGAATTATTTCTAGGGACAACTGGTATTTATATGTTGGCATTCATGCTGCCTGAGGTTTATTTACAGTGGAAATGAAACCAAGACATCCTTAGGGCCTGTAGACCAGTTGCTTTTTCTCAGACTTCAGTTTGACTGGTTTATTATTTCTTGAGGGTCTGGAGGGATCGCCACAACCAAAAATCAATACGTTGCATCAGATCCCTGTGTTGGCTTTGGCTGCTACCTCATTGCTCTGGTTATTGAGGACCCCAAAACTGGCTTAGCATTTGAGATCCTTTATTTGAGATGAAGGCTACTGAAATCGTATCCCTACTCCTCTTTGAAAAAAAAAGATGCAGACACATAGTACAAAATTTCATCTCCTTTGTAAGCTGAGCTAGCTCTGCTAGCTGGTAACCAGGGTGCTAATGTCGATGCTGGGGGAAAACCTAGTGCCAACCTGCTGAAGCATCTTCTGTTTGTGCAAGGACAAGCTCCAGAAATTGAGGTGTCCTCTGACAGATGGGGAAAAGTTCACTTTTCCTTGAATCTGTGATTTTTTTTTTCACATTTGTTACCTAGGGGCTTAATATGTTATTGAGTCCTGTGCCCCTAAAACAATGAAGAGTGTATTATTTTTCAGCTGATGTCAGATATTATGGGCCAGATCCCATCTTCTGCCCTCCATACTCATGGTGAACTTGCCCCACACCCAAGTTATGAACTAAATTAGAGATAAGTGTAATTTAGGGATTATGAGAAGAGGCATGGCGCGGTGATCGGCTGTCGGTATTGTTGCATCTACAGAAATAGTACGTCATCTCTGTTGTACGGTGCTCTTAAAAAATACAGTATCTTCCACTGCAGATCAGACTCTTATCTCTCAGCCCTGTTGAAACTGTGTGTCTATGAGCTCTTCTCTCTGGAGAGCCTGTTACTGGTGTGAACAGGATGGGTTTGTGTCCCTCAGGGAGAGTGGGGTGTTGGTGCCCTTACCCAGTCCAGGAAGCCCCATCCCCTGGTCCCTGGGGCACAGCTCTGGCTTGCTGGTCCAGGCAGAGATGGAGGGAGGGAGATTGGTC